TCGAAAAGTCGGGGGCTGGGATAGAAACATCGCCTGCGAGAAGGTGGGGAAACCCCAGCCCCGCGGTCGACATCTCGCAGGGCGCGTTTTGACCAGCATCCTCGGGACAACACCAGCCGTGACTGCGAGGAGCAGGCACAGGCAGCGGCACCCGTTCCTCCTGTGGTCTCCTCCTCCTGCTCCTCCTTTTCCCCCCTTTCCTCCTCCTCCTCCTCCACCTCCTCCTCCGCGCCATCGGCGGCCGCAACGCAACACTCGACAAGGAAAACTTTCATGTGGCGCAGCTTCGCCCGCCTCTTTCTCCAGAAATGCCAAACGAACCTCTCAAGAATGCACGTTGAGTAAACCACTGGAGGTCTGGACCTGGGCCCCCTCTGGAAGACAATTGCTTCATCCCGATCCACTTGTGAACGGTCCGGAGACCAGGGCGACCCCGAAGAACCTGAGAAGACGACTTTATCAAAACAAATGCTTCCGATGCCACGTCTTCCGGGCGACGTCTTCTGGGGCAACTTCAACAAGGCAACTTCTTCCGGGCAACTAACTCCCTTGGCCTGATTCGTCCGAGGGGGCTTCTTCCAGGCGATTTGTTCTGGCGGACTTCCTCCAGCCGGCTTCTTCCAGAAACTGCACTTTCTGGGGCAATTTCTGCCGACCGATTTCTGCCGAACGACTTCTTCCGGACGACTTCTTCCGAGCGACTTCTTCTGGGCGAGTTTTCCGGGCGACTTCTTCTGGGCGGCTCCTTCTAGGCGACCCTTTCTCGGCGACTTCTCCCGAAACGACTTCTTCCAGGGGACTTTTCCTGGGCCGCTTCTTCCAGGCCGCTTCTTCTGGGCGACTTCTTCTGCGCGAATTCTTCCGATCCATTTCTTCCAGGCAACTTCGTTTGGGCGACTTGTCCCTAACGATTTTTTTCGAACGTATTGTTCGACAACCTTCTCCTCCTCCTATTATTTTCCTCCTCCTCTTATTACCCCATCCTTTCATATGCCTCCCCTCCACTCTCCCCCTCCCCGTGAGTCGCCGAGTTCTTCCGGGCGCCTTTTTCAAGGCAATTTCTTCTGGACCACTTTGCCCGAAGACGATTTCTTCTGCGACGACTTCTTCCGGACAACTTCTCCCGGACCATTTCTTCCAGACGACTTCTTCCTGAAGAAAGCTCTTCAGGAAGAAGTCGTCGCGGAAAAACTTGGCGCGGAAGAATCCTCATCTTTCGGTTTTTCTTCGTGTAGCTGCAGTTGCGGTTCGTGGAATCGGGCGGGGTTGGGTCCCTCGGAATAACGTCACTGCACCAGGATCCAATAAACCCAGTTGTCCCGCTCCTCCCCGCGCATCCGTCCTCCTCCACTGCAGCCTTCGGCGGAGCTCCCTACGGGGCCTCGAAATGTGTGAGGGGTGTGCCGACATGAGCGCGGTGGCGCCATGCGAACCCTGCTACAGGGGCCTTCGGTGGAGCTCCTGATGAGGCCACGGAGCGTGAAGGGTGTGCCGACATAGGTGCGACGGCGCCATACGAACCCCAACCGGTGGGGCCTTGCGTGGAGCCCGCCATGGGGACACGAACCGCGTGAGAGGTGCGCCGACATGGATGCGGTCAGGCACAAGCGAACCCTGCCACTGTGGCCTTCGGTGGAATTATGGAGCCTCGGACCGTGTGCAGGGTGTACCGAAACGAGCGCGGTGGCGCCATGCGAACCCTGCCGCTGGGGCCTTCGGCGGAGCTCCCTATGAGGGCACGAACATGTGAGGGTGTGCCGGAATAAATGCGGCCACGCCATGCGAACCCTTCCACGACTGCCTTCTGTGGAGCTCCAAATGGGGCCACGAAGCGTGAGAGAAGTGCGCCGAAATGAACGCAATGGCGCCATGCGAACTTCTTATGGTCGACTTCTTCCAGTCGACTCCTTCCGGGCGACTTCTTCCGAAGACTTCTTCTGGACGACTTCTTCCAGACGACTTCGTCTGGACGGCTTCTTCTGGACGACTTCTTCCGGACAACTTTTGCGGACGACTTCTTCCAAACGAATTCTTCAAAACGACTTCTTCCGGACAATGTTTTCCGGACGGCTTCTTCCGAAACCACTTCTTCCGGACGAGTTCTTCCGGACCACTGTGTCCGAGCCACTTCTTCCGAACCCGAACGCCTTCTTTGTCATCGTCCTCCTTATACCTCGTCCACCGTCTCCACCGCACCGATCTCTCGAAAAAAACACTGTCCCGACGACTTCTTCCGGACGACTTTATCCCGACGACGTCTTCCGCGAAGACTTCTTCAAAACCTCTCTCTTGACCTTTACGCCGCTTGCCATCATCCGCAGCGCGGTGGTTTCCCGAGCTCTCCGAGCCCTGGCGCGTGATTTAAGAGGATGTTTGGCACCCCGCGGGCTCTACTCATCAGCCCCAGGGGGGGCAATCATGCATGAATCACAAGCTGACATTACAGAATGCCGTTTACTGCACGTCCAGGAACGACTTTCAACTCAAACTTACCAAACGCAACCCATTACAGAGCGTCCGCAACACTGATGCCCTCCAGGTTGTTCTGCCTCTGCCCACGACCCTGTGACGCTCAATTCTTGGAAATACAGATCCGTTCAAGATCCACCCGATCGGCGCGCATCGGCCTGCACCCACAGCAATGCGTCTTCCGCGCTCATTGCGCGACAGATTTGTATCAAAACATGCTTACCCAGCTTCATCAAGTCGAACCGCTCGCCATGAACGCTTATGGCTGCCACGCTTCCGCCAGCCCCAGCGGCCATGGGAGCTGGAAGAAATGTCGGATGTGTCGTCGGCCATTTCAAAGAATACGTCGGGTTGGGCGTCGAGCAAAAAAAACACCGGTAAAAGCGTCGAGAAGGCCGTAAGGTAGGGGGTCGGGAAGGCCGTTGGGTAGGGCGTCGGGAAAACCGTCGGGTAGGGCGTCGGGAGGAGCATCGGCTAGGTCGTCGGGTAGGGCGTCAAGTAGGGGCTTGGATCGGGGGGCGTGTTCGGCGTCGGGTTCGCCGAAGGGTTCGGACTCGGGTTCGGCGTCTTTGCGATGCTTTGGAGCCAATATGGCTCAAGGATGCCCACATACGCTCAAGATGTCGCCAAGATGGCAGAGTGCAGCCCAAGATAAGCCAAGCTAGCATCCGACATGCTTCCAAGAGGCCCAAAGACGGCTCCAGATGGCCTCGGGTCCCCTCGGGGCCTCCCCCAAAACCACCCGAAGGCCCAAACATGTCAAAACCCGACGGTGGCTCAATGATGCTTGCCGCCTCGCCTCTTCGCTCCCGACGGCTCCTGAGGCCTCAGGATGCCTGCGAGATCGCCCGAGCAAGCCACGTGAGGGGCCGATAACGGACCCTGGAGCCAGGAGCGCCCGCGAGCACCCCAAAAAGGGCCCCCAAAAAGGCTCAAAGAGGGTGCTCCCAGGGCTCAAAGAGGCGTCACCGAAGTTGGGGCACACCCTTCTGTGAGCGGTGTCCTCTTTATGGGTCCAGAGAGATCCCCACAAGTGCTCCAACAACAAACCAGGAGGGCCCAAAGAAAACCTGAAAGGCCTCCGAAACGGCCCCAAGATGGCCCAACTAGACTTATGAAGGGATCCCGTATCAAAAGACTCGCGGAGGCGTGTATATATGACCGCCTCCTGGATTTGACCAGGCTGATTCCGAGCTTCGGCTCAACGGCTGCTTCTCCCTACAATGCCATGAGTAAGGCATCTCGACTGTGTGTCGTGTCTGGAAGGGCCGGTGGGGATACGCGATGCGCCAAACACCGTTCTAGATACGGGCTTGCGAAGTCACAACATAATAAACACAGTAAGGGGCCCCAGAAGGCGCCCAGGAGGCCCCAAAAAGGCCCCAAGAGGCCCCCAAGAGGCCCCCAAGACGCCCCAAGAGGCTCCCAAGAGGCCCAAAAGAGGCCCCAAGAGGCCCAAAAACGGCCCCCAAGAGGCCCCAAAACTCGGCTAGCCCACAACGGTGCGACAATATGGGCCGGCGGAATGAGCGAAGCGATTAAATAAACACAGTAAGGGGTAGAATGCGCAATCACAATTTGTAAGAGCCTCCGCCCGCACTTACCACAACCGCTGACATGGGGCCTGAACACACTCCCGCCAAAGCCTGTGCCAATTATCAGGCTTGGGTTTGGCGATCCGTTAAACAGCAGCGTGGCGCTGGCACTGACACCGTTGCTCCTCGAGACGTGTTCACTCTTGAGCTGGGGTCACACCCAAAATTAGGGACTGATACCTCGGTGCATCGCTCTGTACGCTGCCACGCTTCAAACTCGTCACAATTTCCTTGAGGCGGGGGAGGGGAAGACGACGGAGTGAGGAGGGATGGAGGGAGGCAGGGACGGAGGGAAGGGGAAGATGGTTTCTGGACTCCCCGGAGGCCAAGGAACAGTCAAGAACGCAGTAAGACCTCGATCATCGAACCTCGGGAAGGAGGATCGGCCGCGTCGAAAAAAAGAACGAGGAAGAGGGGGTAAGGGCATCATGGCCTTAGGCTCGTGCGCTAACGAGAGAGCCAGGGAACGCAAAAGAAAGAGAGGAAGAAACAGCAGAAGAAGAGGAAGAAGGAATAAGAAGAATGAGAACATGATAAGGAGGAGAAGAAGAAGAAGAAGAAGAGGGGGCCATGAATCTTGGAAGAGCTCATGGCCCTGGCCACGATATCCACACATCCCTGCAGTCCTCGCCACCCTATTCGCCGCAGCCGAAGGGAGCTGGCACGCCCGAAATGGGGACAGGAAAGATGGGGGCGATGCCCAACAGCATGAGCTGCCGCTGCTGGGCAGGCGACGTTATGCCCCAAGTGGACAGCGCCCGCGGCGGCACGGACAGCGAGTCCTGCGCAGTGGGCAGGACTGCTGTCGGCCTCCGTCCCCCAGCGCGGAGATGGCGGTCCTGGATTCCTGGGTGCCGCTCGCCGCGGGGACCCACCCTGCCCCGTGGCCCCAGCGCGGGGATGGCGACCCCTCGACTCCTCCTCGATTCCTGATTCCTGGGCGCCGCTCGCCACGGCGACCCACCTCCCTGGCATGCCCATGACGAGGACCGCGATTCTGAATGTTTGGCCCGTTGGCAAAAGAAGCACCTGTGACCTTGAGACAGCCCGCCCCCCCCACCCCTCCTGCTCTTCCTGCAACCACTTTGGACCTCTCGAGGAGGATCAGAGGAGGGCCAAGGTTAGATCCGGGCGGCTCTCCCGCCCGCCTCGGCTCCGCCCAAGAGCTGTCCGCGGAGCCCTCCCGGGATCCGTCCGGGCCCGCTTCTCGAGGCAGGCACAGCCGCGGCGACGGGAAGCCTCCAGGAGGCGCCATGAGGAGCGCAAAACGCCAGGGAGGACCGCCGCTGTCTCGGCTGGCACTCCTCCCAGACCCCCGACGTCATGAACTTCTCGCAACGTGGACCCGCAGAGGCCTGGACTCCTTCCCGGGGACCGGCTCCCGTCCTGGACCGCATTCTGACGGTCACGAGGCCCTGTAAGGGCCGCGGAAACCGACAAGAGCGAAAGACCTCCCGTCGTGTATTTTCACGACGCCAGACCCCCTGGACGCCGGCCGCCCACAGCCCTTGCCCAGCACAGGTATTTTGCCTGCCGCCCAGTGGATGACGGCGTGCCTCTCCAGTGGGACCTGCGCTGCCCCCCTTCGGCAGCTCCCACAGGCCGCTCGCCTTCCAGTCCTTCACCGGCTCTTGATGCCCGAGGCCATCTGCGAACACCAGGCGCCGAAGACTCTCCACGCCGCAACGCCCGAGCCCCCCACCCCACCGCCTCAACGCCTCAACGCCTCTGGCCGCCCCTCTCTCCCTAGTCGCCCAGTATGAAGGGGCCCTGGGACACACAAATAAATACACACTGATCACAGGATTCCCCATATTTTCAATATTTCATGGGTTTTCGTCTTCCCCCCCACTTCCCATATTTTCCCATCTTTCCCCGGGGATCGACGATTCGTTGTGTCCGTGTTTTTTCCCCTCCTGAGCAACGCAAACCCGTCTCATGCCTTGCAACGCACCGCAAGTTGTCAGGGCGCGTCCCAAGCCCGTCTCCACCAATTCGTATGCAAGGCCACCTCCGGGGCCACGAGCTGCTCCCAGACCTGACTCAGCCGAACTCCGGCGTTGCAGGACCATGCGTGATCCGGCACTCTTACCGAGCCCCGTTTGCGCTGAGGAGCCCCGTCACCTGCCCTCTGATCAACGTCACTGACTACACCGCCGGCGTTCGGCTGGCTCGCCGCCAGCCAAAAACGCCCTCGTGCTACTTCCCCCGACCGTCCGCTGGCATCCGCCAGCGGGCGAGAGGCCAGTCCCTGCGGCTCCTCGAGATCCGGCGTTCTTGCCGAGCCCCACTTGCGCTGAACCCCGTCGCGCACGCCCTGAGAAAGATAGGCGGTGCCAGGCCCCGGGCCGAGAGTTCCCCAGCGGCGGCGGGGCGCCTGTAGGAGCTCCAGAGGCTGCCGCCGCACGTCGGCGAGGCCGCGTTGGCCAGCGATGACCTCTGACCACCGCGGGGGGGCTCCACCAGATTCCGGCCTGCTCCTCCTCCTGCTCCTCCCTCCCCCCTTCCCCACCCTCCCTCCCTCCCTCCTAACTATCCCTCCCCAGCCCCTTTCCCTCTCCAATGCTACCCCCTCCTCCTCCTCCCTCCCTCCCTCTATTCCTCCACGCTATCCCTCCCCAAACAAAATCCCTCTCCAATGCCTCCCTCTCTTCCTCTCCTCCTCCTCCTCCTCCTCCTTCACCTCCACATCCACCACCTCCTCCTCGTCCTCCTCATCCTGCCCCCCCCCCCTCCCCCTGCCCCCTCTTCCCCCTCCCCATCCACCTGCCCCTCTCCCCCCCCCTTTTCCCCTCTCCTCCTCCTCCTCCTCCTCCTCGCCCTCCTCCTCCTCCTCCTCCTCCCTCCTCCTCCTTCTCACCCTCTTCCCTCCTCTTCCTCCTCTTCCTCCTCCACATATTCCTTTTCCTCCTCCTCCTCCTCCTTTTTCTCCCCTCCTCCTCCTCTTCCTCATCCTCATATTCCTTTTCCTCCTCCTCCTCCTCCTCAACCTTCTCCTCCCCTTCATCGTCCTCCTCCTCCTCCTTTCCTTCCGCCTCGCTCCTCTTTCTCGTCCGTTCCTCCCCTCCTCTCAATCTCTCTCTCTCCTCTTCTTCTCTTCTTCCATCCTGCTCATCTGCTCATACCTCCTCCTCCTTCACATTCTCCTCCACCTTCTCCCACCCGCCTTCCCCTCCTCCTGCTCCTCCTCCTCCTCCTCCTCCTCCTCCTCGTCCTCCTCCTCCTCTCCTTCCTCCTCCTCCTCCTCCTACCTCCTCCTCCTCCTCCTCCTCCTCCTCCTCCTTCACCTCCTCCTCCTCTCCTCCTCCTCCTACTCCTCACTCCTCCCCCTCTTCCCCTGCTCTCCTCCCTCCTCCTCCTCCTTCCTCCTCGTCGTCCTCCTCCTCCTCCTCCTCCTCCCTCCTCCTCCTCCTCCTTCCTGCTCTCCTGCTCCTCC